CATCATAAAACAAAAAAGTGAAAATGAAGTAAATAAAAAGAGGTTTGCTTTCTTGACACGCACGCTACCGCGTTTTGTACTGAGCAACATTGAGAACGAATATGCTCTGCTTGCTTTTTTAGGGCAAATCATTCCAAAAACGAACCTAGCCTAAAAGAGCAGATAGATGTAGAAAATCAGTGGGACAATTCTATTATCGGGGAGGTATGCAATACCGAAGATACATAGCTTGAGCCAGAAAGAAACAAGATCTTCGTGAGAAAATGAATTTTTTGCTTCAAGCTGTGAGAAGCGAAGCCGCAGATTTGGATGAGATATATAGATTTGTCAGTGGGCTTGACAGATGAGAATGACAAAGCAAGAGAAATACTTTCTAGCCGACATATGTCTTTTCATGAAAGAAATGGCAAAATTGCACCTTTGCATTTGAATAATAGAGACAGGAATAAAAGTGATGAACACGAAAGAGTCAGCAAAAAAAGCCCACCGTGAATTTGCTCGTTGAAGGCACATTTTGGGCGATTTCGGCAGCAGCTTGTTTTGCCTGAAAAATGAACGGAAATTATACTGCATTTAGCGACAAGGGACGCTGTCATCGGACGAATTAGCGAGCAGCGTTGCCCTTGTGAGGTGTGAGTGAGTCCGCAAGCTGTTCATATTCATGACGAGGGGTTGGCAGGAAATCATTTGCATAATTTAAGGGCTCTATTACTACTCTGTTGAATTTTGGGATTTTGGCCCTTTTGACACCTCAGCTACTTAATGGGGAAGGCACTTCACGAGGCCACAGAGCACAAAGTGAAGCCGCCCAACCTAACATATGGTGGAACAGAGCGGCAGCCTCTAATTAAGAAAACGATAGAGTGGGACAGGAACTCTGGTAATGTGAAGGAGAAAAACGAACCTTTCCGAGGGCACCAGAGGCGAACTTTCCAAAGCCGGAGAGGCGAAAGCGGCCTCCCTGGCTGGAGTCCAGCATGCCACCAGAAGACGTGCGATCGATGCCAGCCTCCTGAGTCCTGCCCCTCGTCGTCGCAACGATCGATGGCTTAGCTAAACAGGACAACATATGAGCACAGAAGTAAACCAAAATAAGCACTGATTCGTACAATCGAGTAACCATTTCTAGCGTTTCGGTCAGCCTTTGTGGCATACTGCGTATTGCTATTTGTTCTATTGTGAATACCTTTAAGGTGTAATTGTTCGACTCCTGTCATGTAAACCACCTTCTTGAAAAAAAAGTATAGACATGATGGCGGTATACCTCGTTTCAACAATC